ATTATAAACCGCGCTAGACACAGTGGCGCATGCCTGAAATCCCAGTGGCCTGGGAGGCTGAGGCAGAAAGATCAAGACTTTGGTCAGCCTCCAGCAAAAGCAAGGCGCTAAGCATCTCAGTGAGACCCTGTCTCTAAATAAAATACAAAATAGGGCTAGGGATGGCTCAGTGGTTGAGTGCTCCTGAGTTCAATCCTAGTACCCCCCAACAGACCTGCAAAAAAACAAACCACTTAACTTTTGTTAATATTATTAGGTATTCCCTGATTTTTCAAGTGGTTACATTAATTTATACTCTTACAAGCAGAATAAAATATTCTCCCATCTCCCTTATTTCTGCCAAAATATGATATTTAAAAGAATCTGATGGGTGTGAAATGGTATGCAGCTGATTACCAAAACTAGTGTTTCTGGCTTCCTCTTCCGGGAAGTCTTTCCTATCTTTTATCCATTTATATTTTTCCTTTGGTTGTTTTTTGCTGATTTGTAATTCTTTATATTTCCAAATAGAAATCTTTAATATATTATGTATATTGCAAATAGCTGTTCCCAATTGGTTATGTAAATTTTTACTTTAAAGATAAAGATATTTCATTCTTTGATGCAAATTCATCAGTCTTTTTCTTGTTCTGTTTGGGAAATCTTCAATCACCCTGATAACAGAGAAAAGTTCCCTTAAAACTGAATATTTTTTGGTGTTTTCACTTTATTTCCTATTATTTATTTAACAAACCTTAATTTACCACCAACTGCTTCAATTCCTCGGGTTATCTTGAAAGACGAAGCACCCTTCGTAGTCTTGAAAAAGAAAAGATTTTCTTAGTAGTAGTTTTTTAATGCTGAGTATCCCAAACATCACACTATGTCAAAATCTATTGCCTAATCCTTATTAGCATATTCTAAAGAAACTTTCCTATGTATTGGATCCTTTCAAATCACGAATTATAAAACAAGGTGCGATGTAGAGCACAAGCATATATTTTAAATATAAAGTATATTTATGTAAACATTCCATTTTCAAATACAAGCTTACTGGAGTTCTTAGTCTATTTTGAAAGAGAATTACGTATGTTCACATATGTAATTCTTTCAGTTTCAATTTAAATAAATCTTTACTTACTTCTTATGTTCTAACACAAACACTCAGATGGACACCAATTTAATTTGCTCATGTTATAACATGAATGAACCCAGAGGACCTTATCCTTAGTGAAATAAGTTACAAAAGGGAAACAATATTCAGATTCCACTTTTATGAGGAACAAAAGTTCTCTGTAGCAAATATCCTACAGTTTCACATTTTATATTAGGTTTTATTGGGTTGAACAAAACTCCTATCTACCCAGAACCTAAGGAAGTGAATTTAATTGGAAATATAGTCTTAAATAGAATGGCAGGTTTCACTGTGGCATACCGTGGGACATGCATATAACATAATTTGATCAATTTCAGTCTCTAACCCCGCATCCTTGCTCCCTCCCCCATCCTCCCTTCTACTTAGAAATAGGATCTTTGCTGATATACTTGAGATGTCACACTGGATTAGAACGAGTCCTAAATACCTTAGGACAGGTGTCCTTTTAAGAATGAAATCTGTACAGACAAAAGGAAGGTCATATGACAACAGAGGCTGGGATTAGAGTGACGTAGCTACAGGTTAAGGAATGCAAAGGATTGTCAGCAACCACCAGAAGCTAGGAAGAGGCAAAGAGGGATTCTTCCCTATAGTTTTTAGAGGAAGTGTGGCTCTGCTGATACTCTGACTTGTCATAAGACACTTACTTCCATTTTGACTTGAAACTTCTAGAATTGTAAATTTTTTTTTGTTTAAGTCACATAGTTTATATGGTTGCTCAAGCAAATTAACAAAGCTTTTCTTTTTCACAGGACCAAGATACCACAGCATGTTCAAACAGTGAGGTTAATAAAGATACTTACTAAGCTGGATGCAAGACGCAGCAGATGAGAGGTTCCTAAATTGTTGGAGTCCTCATATCTACTGCCTGCTTTAATGAACAAACCAATTCTTGATGCAGGAGCATAGTTTTCCAGAGAAGCAATTACCAAACCATTTGGTAATTTGGTAAACTGCATTTAAGATTAAGTAGAGATATGATTAATGTCTTTATATTATCAAGGAGAGTAAAGTATTTATACACACACACATATATACATATACATATATATAGCAAGAAATTTAGTCAGACTAACCTCAAGGTCCTGAGGATGTAGAGTAACTCCTGTGGGGGTGACTGTACCTTTAATTTTGGGGGCAACTTTGAGGGAATAAAATCTCTAAACACAAAAAAGACAGGTTATACACATTTCTCACAAAGTGCTTTAAATAAAAGCATTGTGTCAGTGCTGCCAAAAGAAAAAGGGTGTTCAGAAGTAAAAAGAGCAGCCATTACCTTCGTGGGATGGTTTAGCTGAATAACTTATTAACCCAACAGCTTACCCAAGCCATTTTAAAACGTCAATTTATTTGTGATTCCTAAAGACAGCTGAATTCTCTATGCTATTTTTAAGTATATAAATAATTATTGTATTTTCTGAACCTTTTAACTACCTTACTGAAGTTTCTAGTGTTTCTCTCTAGCTCTGATGCTTTGGAAGTTTTTGGAAAGGTATACTGAATTGCCATGTTAACTCCATCTTAGAGATTTTAACAAAAAGTTTTTTATGACATTGTATATCATTTGCCACCCCCTCCCCCCAAAAAAACCTGCTTCCTTAATCTGCCCTACAAGTCTCTTCATTTTAGGCTATTTTCCAATTCATCTACTTAATAATTTTAGCAACCTTGTAAAAACCCAATGCTTACCAACTTCCTCTGCACTAATATTTTCATTGCATCTTCATTCTCATGTTCCAAAGGCTGAGTAATCAAGGGTCTTACCTTCTTTGACTAAATAAAAGTTTATATCACCCTATAGATTCATTCACAGCATATTCTTGGTGTATAATATACAGTCACAATAGGGAAAAAAAGCTCTTTTTAAATGTCAGATAATGGATTCAAAATGCATTCACTTTAGTCAGTTTTTTTCTTTGGTGGGGGGCAAATGATATAAAATGTCACAAAAGACTTTTTGATTATGACTAAACCTTACAAGGTTACTAATGGAAGTGCTGCATATATAAAACTTTGTAATTCCAAGATGCTCCTGCCTTGGTCTCTGGAGTAGCTGGGACTACAGGCACGAGCCACTGCACTACCCAGCCATGTCACTTTTTTAGTTATAGGCTTATTTGTCCCTTTCAAATCAGTGAAGAACTGTCCTAATAATTATCAATTACTAAATTCTCCTTTGAATAACACAATGTAAGTGAGAAAGAGATAAAATAAGTACTACAATTAGAAACATAAACATAAACAATTGCTTTAAAGTTTACTATAACTTGCTTACTTTGGTCCTTTCCAACTGTTATCTCAGAAAATTGGAATAAAGGAAAATTGGGGCACTCCTGCCATTCTAAGTTGCTCTCAAAGTGTTGTTAATCATTGGGTTTTTTAGGCATGCCAGGAATATAATTACAGCCTAAATTTGTATAATCCACAGTACATCTATCTAAACATAAAGAACAAGGAAACCCATTAAGATCTGGTCTTTTGCATTTTCCTCTGGCAGGGATTTTCAACGCAGGTACTACGGGCATATTAGGCTGGATAACTCTTCATTATAAAGGAGCTGTTACATGCATCCTAGGCTTTTAGCAGCACCCGTGTCCTTCTTATCAGTAGCAGCCTCCCCAAAAGTAGTTACAAACAAAACTCTCTAGACATTGCTAACAGTACACTGGTGCAAATTATTCCTTGCTGATTTTTTTTTTTTAAGCGTTCCTTCTTTCATTACTTGGTAACCAGTGCTCCACAGTGACAAAACACCTATCCTTGAGGAAACCAGTTATGTTCAAAGGGGGAAGCCCTAGTTTGAACATTACTGTCACTTAGGGAAGCCCTAGTTAAGCGGCTTTTGATAAGGACCGACCAAGAATCCTTTCCGGAGGAATCCAGTAATAAGAGATCAAGAGAAGCAGCACACGTTATACTGTCAGGATATAATTACAACGAATGAAGTTCCAGGCAATGGGATAAGCGCTATAGGTACAGTAGTTTATTTCTTACACTTTATTAGTAAGCCCATTTCACCGCTGGGGAAACGGACACACAAGATAAACCTAGAAGCAGAGGCCGCGGCAGAAGAGGCGCGGCGGGTGGGGCTTAGGTGTGGGGCGGCCTCCGCTCGCCGGCAGAGTAGTGACCTTCAGGAGTCTCTCCAGGGAGTCGCTTGGCCTGGCTCTCAAGCCCTCTCTGTCTCTTCAGGTCTTCCGGCACTAGGTCTCTTCGGTTCACAGAACGAGCCAAGCCTCTCCAAACACCTGAGCTTTCAGCTCTCTAGGTCTGCGGGTTCAGCTGAAGGGCAGATCGAAGCCCAAGGCCTGGGACCCCACATCACGAACCTCCCGCCCGAACCAGAGTGCTGACACACTGCCCCCAGACGCCCCCCCCCCCCCCACAAACCCGCCCGCTGTGCTTACCGAGAAGGACCCGGCTGTGCTCAGTAGCTTCATGGCTCAAGATTGCGCTGACCCACAGTCACTGCGGGTTAAAGGCAGGCAAGATGGTGGCGGAGGACGGGAGTTTCCCAGCTTCCCCCGCGAACACTCTTTCCCACGCCCCCTTCGTGAGGGTTCTCTCTATCCCGACCGCGCTCTACTGCTCTGGATGTTGGATCTATCCGACTTATCCAAGACACAAGGCAGAGGGGCGTACATTTTCATAAGTAAACATAGTAGTTTAGGTTACCTCCTTTGGGTTTATATCACCGGTCCACATATTCACTCTTTAATCCTAATTCCCTCTACGAAAGTCTATCACAACTCCCCCGCTACCGTGGACTCTTCCGACCTGGATTGTCCAATGATACGCCTTTCCTGGCACTGCGCAGGCGTTTTCTGGGCTCATGCCAGGAGTTGTGGACTTCCGGTTCCCTAGAGTTAGTGGCTTTTGGATCCGGCACACCTCGCTGCGTTTATGCTGGGCACCGAAGCCCCGCAGTTGTCTGCTGCTTGGTGAAGTCCTCGCTAGATCATTAGCTCCAAATGAGAGCAGAGATCTTATGTGATGTATGTGCTGCCGTTATCTTCCAGAACAGGCCAGAGACACTCTTAGCTGGGTCCACCACCTGAGGGGATCATCTTGAAGTAAGGTCCCTGCTCTCATGGAAATTGCATCCTATTGGGGTTACAACGAAAATTAAGCAAAACGGCTATAGTTTTCACGTGTTTTGAATAATAGGATTGCGAGAGACGACTCAGCGGAAACTCGCATGTTGAGAGTGCAGTCATGTGATCAACTGGGCACAGAGTTCACTACACTCTGTGCATATAAACTAAGGAGGTGCCTTATGCTGGGCACTGCGCTAAAGGAGGAAGGCGTGGTTTCTGCTCCCAGGGCACTGGTCTAGTACCCTGCTCGCCAGGTTGAGTGATTGGTAAACGAACTCTCAGCATCAATACCTTTGGGAGTTTTTTGCAAGTGCAAAGTATCCAGTTTCTCAGATTGGATTCCTGTCAAGTGTTTTTACCTTTATCTATGCACTTTACTTTCAGAAGGTCTGGTGGTGGAAATATTACAAGGCATAGGTAAACGTATCACCTTTGGCTTGTGCCTTTTTTGCTCCAAGCCTGCTACTGTCTTTAATTCTAACAAGCTTGTAAGATGCACTATAGAACCTGAAGCCAACTCAATTTTTGTGCCGTCAGCGGACAACCCTGACCCAGTCCATACCATAGAGGCTCACCAGGTGTGGTGCATGAGATTTTAAATTGGTATATGAATGAATATTGTTTTGTTTTAATGGTTACATGGGCTTTTTTATACCTTTATTAATGAAAATATCTAATTCTCAGAAATAAATTTTAAATTGGGTTAAGAATCAAAATAAATGTTACTTGCAAATCATTAATGACTATAACAATAAATAGTAGAAAACAAAGTTAGTTTAAAAAAAAAAACCACTTTATTTTATGTGGTGCTGAGGATCGAACCCAGTGCCTCACATGTGCTAGGCAAGTGCTCTACCACTGAGCCACAACCCCAGCCCTAATGGTTACATGTTTGATTATGGCAAGCAATCCTAGTGATGAATAGCCTTCTTTAAATGCATTTGTAAAAAAATGAAAATTGGTTTAAGAAAGTTTAATTAACTTTTGGTGTAAGATATGGAGGTATATAACATAAATCATGGATGTATTTATACCAGTGAGTGAAATTTGGGAAACATTGTTCTGATCAAGTCACCTGTCTGGTTAAAATTCTTCAATGACTTACCCATGTTTTTTAGGATAAATTTCAAATTCATTAATAGCATGCAAAGCTCTGTTACCACTGCTCCCAAATTAGCTATACCCCTGAGAGTCCAATTATTAGAACTTCATCATCCAGCAGTTCAAGTCAGGCGGGAGGGACACACAGATCCCTATGTGTTCGTGTACATGTGTGTGTGCATTCACATACACCTGTTTAGAAGAGTTACACCACCATCCACATACCAGAATGTAAACTGTGACCCAAATATCTGAAAGGAGGAGCATTCTGTTCAAAATGTAGAATTTTAAACATAATAATTCATGATTTCAGCTACATAAATCAAAATCCTGTCTATACAGTGTTTTGGAACATTGCAAAATTTCCTATTAAACTTTCAACTATACAGTAGGGTGCCATCTTGTTGACAGATATGCCACTTCAACATCATTGTTGTGCTCTACTCAATTTCATGACTGTTGCTCATGTGGAGGTCTCTGCAACTCTAGCATTTTACTGAAGAAGCAAATAAGAGTTCTTGAAATTGTTTCTGCATAGGAGATTACTGAAAGTCCTGAGAGGAAACAGTCAAGAAGAAACCATACATACATGGAAGGCCAGATCAATGCATTGCTGGAAAGTTCTGCTAGTTCTATTATTGTGAAGACCAATATGACCCAACGAGCCCAACACCTACCTCTGTGTGTGTGTGTGTGTGTGAGTGTGTGTGTGCACCTGCGCACGCATATGTGTATGAATGTGTGAATCCTTGTTCGTGCATGTTTGTGGAACCAAGAATGTAAAAAGAAATGAGGTGGGCTGGGGATGTGGCTCAAGCCGTAGCGCGCTACCCTGGCATGTGTGCGGCCCGGGTTGGATCCTCAGCACCACATACAAAGATGTTGTGTCCGCCGAAAACTAATAAATATTAAAGTTCTCTCTTTCTTTCTTAAAAAAAAAAAAAAAAAAGGAGGTGAGAGTGGAGGCAAAATAAACCACAGGAAAGTGGTTTGGGAACAACATTGTCTTGTCAGCTTAGAGTCAAAGGCATTAATCATGACTCCTCCTAGACTCTTAAATGTTTAAGATGGCATAAACCGTATTTTTGACACCTCAGTTAAGTGGTCAAAGTCTGCCAAAGCTCCTTTAGTAAATGATTATTTCCCCATTTTCTCTTGGATCTGTACATTTCCTATGAGCAGAAAAACACATTTCTTTTGTCTTAAAAACTATTTTCACCTTTCTTTTGGTTCTAGTGAGTTTGATATGCACTTCTTTGCTTGATGTCAGATATGAAGGAATACAGAATACATGAGATCACATGTGTCATAATACTGCAGAGATATGAAGGAAGCGACTTCAGGATTGACACCTTATTGAGAATGAGCATTTGGAGCTAGTCTAGGAGATGTCCATGTTCTAGTTCTTACAATGTGCAGATTCGTTTAAGAAAATTGATTCACTTAGTTGAATAGTGAGATAACATTTCTAAAAAATATTCTTAATTATTTTTAAAAATTAATTTTGATAGCATCCATTATCTTTCAGAGTTTTGTATATATTATTTCAAGCTCTCCTAGTTTTTAAGGGTCTGGCTTGAAAAATCAGCTAAAATCATTTTTGTTTACTTCTAAATATGACCAGTCATTTTTTCTAGCTGCTTTTAAAATTCTGGTTTTTTTGTTTGTTTGTTTGTTTTTTGTAGATTAGGCATTTGGCATATATATATATATATATATATATATATATATATATGCCAAATGCCTAATCTATACAATATATATATATATATATATATATACACACACACACACACACATATATAGTATTCACACATATATGTTTGTGTGGGTGTATATAATATATATAATATATATAATATTATATATATATATATATTATATTCAATTTTACATGGACACAATATCCTTATTTATTTATTTTTATGTGGTCCTGAGAATTGAACCCAGTTTCTCAAATGTGTGAGGCAGGCACTCTACCACTGAGTTAGAGCCCCAGCCTCAAGGTTAGGCATTTTTACAATCATGTGCCTTGGAATGGATTTGTTATAATTTTGTATATTCGAAGTCCTGTATGCCTCCTGAATTTGATTTTCCATTTAATTTTTAAAACTTGAGAATTTTTCTCTTATTATCACATAGAAAATGTATTGCATTTCTTTAATTTGTACCTTAGAGCTCCTATAAATCCTAGATTTGAACTTTTAGTACTACCCCATATTTTTTGAAATTCTGCTTATATTCTCTTAACATTTTTTCTCTTGCCAAGATTATTTTTATTGCCTTGGTTACCTCAATATATATTTTTCAAATGACCTAGTCTGTTGGTTATGCTTTCTATTGAATTTTTAATTTGGTTTATTGATTCTTCAATTACAAGAAGTTCCAATTGATTCTTCCTCAAAATCTGTATTTCCTTCTTGACAAGACCTTTCACTTCTTATATTTTCTCTCTGATTCCAATCCTTACATCATTTTTTTTACCTCTTAGATCATCTTGTCTATGAATTTTCTAAATTCATTCCTTGATATTTCCTGTACTGTAGTATCAGTGGAGTCTAATGTTAAATTATTCTGTTTTGTTTTGGATGTTTTTATCTCTTTTTTTATTGTTTAAGTGTCTATCCATATCTACAAATGGATCTGAAGCAGTGGGGTTTTTACTCTACCAGCTTTTATCCTGTAGGTTTCCAGTGCCTCAGAGATTAGGGGGAGTCAAATAACTGCAAAAACCTATGCATATAACACATAGGATTAAATTAAGTACTTAGTTCCTGTTATGACATCTACAATGTTGATTGACACCATAAACATAAATTGTAGGGTAAACAATTTCTATCAGTAAAGATAGTGGTTAATCATGAATTTTGTTCATTGTAAACTCAAACAATTGGTATTACCTATGAGTTCCAGTGTTTTAACTGCTTCTAGAGAATTAGTGGTGGGGTCTGACATTTTACAAACTAACCAGTGGTAAGAGAAGTTAAAAATAGTGGTAAATAAGAGGAAAGAAGAAGAAGATATCAGGAAGACAAAGATTTGCAATTTCAAAATAGGGCTGATCTATAGACAACATAGGGTGCATTGTTTATGAGGAGGAAGAAAAGAAATAAAAGTAAAAGAAAAAATAGAGGAAGAGTGAAAGGGAGAACATGAGTCTGGCTTCTTGGTGTATCTTCTATTAATTTATAAATTTTTAAATTAATGCATTATAGACATACACAACATTTAAATTCACCTGCTTTATTCATAGATTTACAGAGAGAGTTTGGTTTGTTTCATTCTACTGTTCATCCCTCTGTCCTCCCTGCCTTCCCTATAACCCCTTCCACAGATATCTCTGCTATTTGTGTTGGATTCTCCCCTTTTTCATTATGTGGTCAAGTATTCACATATGAGGGGAAACATTCGACCCTTGGCTTTCTGAGTGTGGCTTATTTCACTTAGAATTGTGTTCTCATTTCATCAATTTTCCACCTAGTGCCATCATTTAATTCTTAATGACTAAGTAAAACTCTATTGTGTATATACACCAGGTATTCTTTATTCATTAGTCTGTTGATGAGTATGTTAGCTGGTGCTGTAGTTAGGTTATTACGAATTGTGTTGCTATAAGCACTGATGTACCTGTGTTTCTATAGTATGCTGATTTCAGACATTTGGATATTCACCAAGGAATGGGACAACCAGGTCAGATGGTGGTTGTATTCCAAATTTTGAAAGGGATATTCATACAGTTTTACAGGATGGCTGTACTAATTTGCAGTCCTATCAACACTGCATTAGTGTAAATTTCACCACATATTATTCTTTAAAAAAAATTCTTTTCAGCAAAGTGTATTTTGACATATTATACATACATGGACTATAACTTTCCATTCTTGTGCTATATATACTGTGGAGTTACACAGGTTGTGTATTCATATAAGAACAGGAAAGTTATGTTTGTTTCATTCTACTGTTTTTCCTATTCCGATTTCCTCCTTTCCCTTTATCCTACTATGTCTAATCCAATAAGCTTTATTATTCCTTTCCACCTAAATGTTCTCTCTGATGTGTGGATCCCCCCACATTACTCTTGATAATTGATATTTTGAGTTCAGTGAGATAAAATCTCCATGTAGTTCTTTTTGAATCTAATAGTTTTATTGAAGTATAGGGAAAGAGTGAGGGCACAATAATAACAGACTTTGTCTTCCTTGTAGTTTTGATTTGCATTTCCCTGATTCCTAGAGATGTTGAACATATATATGCCACTTGTATTTCTTCTTTTAAGTAATGTCTTGTTTAGATTTTGTGCCCAATTAGTAATTGGGGGTTTCATTTTTTAAGTCTTTTTTTTAAATTCTGTACATTAATTTTCTGAGATTCAGATGAAAAATATTTTCTCATATTGGTAGGCTCTCTGTTTACATTCTTGTTTCCTTTGTTGTGCAGAAGTTTTGAAATTTGATTTTATTTCACTTATTTACTCTTAGTTTTATTTCTTGTGCTTTAGAAGTCTTGTTAAGAAAGTTGATAATTTTGTCAATAATTTGGAGTGTTGGGCCTACATTTTCTTTAAGCAACTGTAGAGTATCTGGTTTAATTCCTAGGTCTTTGAACCCCTTGGAGTTGGCTTTTTTGCAGGGTGAGACAGATAAAATTTTATGTTTTTCTACATATGAATATCCAGTTTTTATAGCAGCACTTGTAAAAAAAAGTTTCTGTTTTTCTTCCAACATATATTTTGGCCCCTTTGTTGCAAATCAGGCACTGTATCTTTGTGGATCTGTCTGTATTTTCTATTCCATTGGTCTTCAGGTATATTTTGGTGCCAACATAAACCTGTTTTTTTATAAAGCTCTGTGACATAATTGGATATCTGGTACTGTGAAGCTCTCAGCATCACTCTTCTGGTTCAGAATACATTTGGCTATTCTATTTCACTTCTGGGTCAAGAAGAATTTGAGAAATGTGTTTTGTCTGTGTGTTGTGAAGGATCTCATTAATATTTTGATTGGGATTGTACTGAGTCTGTTCACTGGTTAAGGTAGTATGATCATTTAGATAATACTAATTTTGTTTATTCAAGAACATTAGAAGTATTTCCACTTCTAAAGGTTGTCTTCAACTTGTTTCTATTTACCATTTTATAATTTTCATTGTTGAAGATTTTTATCTCCTAGGTTAAGTATTTTACCAAATATTTTTTTTTTTAGGGTTTTGTGAATAAAATATTCTCCCCAATTGTTTTGAAGCAGGTTTGTTTTTGCAATATAGGAATGCAATTGATTTATGTATTATGTTCTTGTATCATCTCCTTTGGTAGATTTGTTATCAACATTATAGATTTTCTGATGGAGCATTTTAAATCATCTAAGTAAAATGTTCATGTCATCAGTACACAGAGGCAACAGGACTTCTTCTTTCCTATGTGTATGCCATTAGATTTCTTCTCTTGCCTGTTTGCTTTGGCTAGGGATTCAAGGAGTGGTGAAAGTTTACTTCCTTGTTTTGTTTTTATTTTTAGAAAAAAAAATTCAACTTTTTTTATTCAGTTTGATGTTGGCATTTGGTTTCTTACCTTGACAGTCCCTAGTTCCATCAATTTACTGGAAAATGCCTTAATTTGACTTTTCTTTAAGGCTGAGTAATTTTCCATTATATATCCACATATTCTTTTGGATATTTGATTTTAAGAGAGACTAGGGTGAAGGGTCAGGAGCTTCGAAGAGAAAAGTTATTGGTATGGTTCTGCAATTCCCAGGTGTCTTCATGGAGAATAAAATTGATGCTTCCACCCCAGGCCATCTGTTCAAGACTAGAACAGTGTATCTCAAATAGGGTGCATGACAGTCAATTGGAGAGCTCACTCAAACTCAGACTTCTGGGCCTCAACTCAGAGTGTCTGACTCAGGCGCCAGGGGTGGGCCTGAGCTTCTGTATTTCTTATAAGTCCCCAGGGTTTGCTAATGTTCCTGGTCTAAACACTTCGAACTGATGGTCCTTGTCTAGAAATTTCGGGGGCAATGAAGGTGACATAAGGTCCTCTTTGGGTGCAGTCTTCACCTTCTTTACCTGCCTCTTTTCCCAGTGCCCTACCTGTAGCTTCTACTTAGATTACACCTGCATATGTTCATGATAAAATGGGGCGCTTGGGATCCTCCATTCTCATGGGCCTTTCTCATTTGCAGACCTTTTCCCTGAAGACTGCAAGCCCTACCTCTGTACTTCAACAATTGTCTATATATTATTTTTAGAATCTCATCTTTTGGATTGTTGATTTCCATGTGAATTTCAGAATATCATTTACTCTTAGAATTCCATACTGAGTTTTCATGATATTTTATCCAGATCTTTGTGGACACAGGATGTTGCTGACCACGTGGAATTCCTCTTTTTCCCTTTGATGACAGGAAGCTACCAGTCTGGGACTAACCCCTCTACTGAGTGTTAAGGGGGAGCCAAACATATGGGCCCTACTCTGAAAAATAATACTTACTGGGTGTCTTAAAGAATCTGCAGTATGTATACGGGGTAAAAATGGGAGTTCATAATCTGCTTGAATCAAATGTATGAAATATGATATGTCAAGAACTTTGTAATGTTTTGAACAACTAATAATAAAAAAATAAATAAAAGAAAAAATAAAAAAGATTAAAAAACTAATGTAATTTAAAAAAAATAAAACTCAAAAGTAATCCACTGAAAAAAAAATCAAGTTACTGTAACACAGTTGTGGAGTCTAGGAGTCCAAACTGAATTATTATAAGGTATATGCTCTGAAAAGTCTAGGGAAATTTTTCCTTAATTCCTCTAGCTTTCAGTGGTTGTGGGGAATACTTGGCATACCTTCACATGTGCACTCATCTCTCCTTTTTCGGTCACCATTATCACATGGTGTTCTCTCTGCACAAGTATACTTGTCCAAATTTTCCTCTTCTAAGGTGATGAGTCATCAGATTATAGCCCACTCTAATTGACTATGGCCTCATATAACATTTTCATGCACAAAAACCTCATTTTCAGATGATGTAATAAGCTGATGTGCTGGGATGTGTTGACAATTTAACCCAGAGCATGTACTGAGCACTTAATGTGCGCTATTTCCTGTATTTCTCATGGCAGCACTGTGAGGTACACACAGGCATCACTCACACTGAATAAACTAGGATATGAAACTCAGTAAAGTTGTCGTCCAGATAGAAGCACATGGAACCCACAAGATTGTAGTCACAGTGTAGCTGTAGCATGGGTCCACCTGTCCCTTGAAAGAATAATTCTGTACCCCCTGCATCTCTGTAGACATGATACTGCTTCCCAGAAATGGTCCTAGAGTACTACAAAAGACTCCAAATCTTTTTAGTAGCTGCCTCTTTGAGAATCTTAGAGCAGGAATTGATGCAAAAAATCAAATTGCTCTAAACGTCCTCATCATGTATCCCCAAAGTTACAACATTACTCTTCTAAATTTAGATTACTAGAATTTCATTGAACATCCTATACAGGTTTATAGTATGAAATTTTTAAATTAATTTTCTTCACTATTTTTAGATATATAAATGACAGAAGAGTGAATTCTGAAATACTATATATACATAGAATATAGCATATAACTTATTCTAATAAGGATCCTATTCTTATGGTTGTATATGATATGCGGTTTCACTGTGTGTATATTCATAGATGAACATAGGAAAGTTATGTTTGATTCATTCTGTCTTTTCTATTCCCATTTCTCCGCCTTCCTTTTATTTCCCCTTTGTCTAATTCAATCAACTTTTCTCACATCCTTGTCAACATGTTCTATTACTTGTACTCTTGATAATTGCCATTCCAACTGGAGTGAGATGGAATGGCAGTGTAGTTTTAATTTGCATTTCTCTAATTTGTAGTGATGTTGAACATTTATTTCATATATTTGTTGGCCATTTGCATTTCTTTTATGATGTGCCTGTTCATTTCCTTTGCCCATTTGGTGATTGGAATACTTGTTTGTACTGTGTTAAGTTTTATGATTTCTTTATATATCCTGGAGATGAACGCTAAACCTGATGTGCAGGTGCAACAGTTTTTCTCCCATTGTAAGTTCTCTTCACATGCTTTATTGTTTTCTTTTCTGTGAAGAAGATTTCTAGATGGGAAACTCATGTAACTCTTGAAGCAATTCAATGATAAGTGAAATATGGAAACCAAAATATAACTTACATGTGTGTCATGCTCATTTAAAGAGCCATAATACATTCAAGAGATAAAGGCAGTGATAATCCTATTTAAAATCATGAATGTAGGTTCACAAAATATAGGCCCTTTAACCAAATCCCAGTGTCAGTAAGTCATAGAGTACAGATAGAAACCTAGTTCTCCTCTGTTATTTGTGTTTTACCTGAGGCAATCTGCAGTAACAGGCCCAACAATCTAATAAATTCAGTTTGTTTGAATAGACATAATAAGACCTTCTTATTAAAACCCATCAGTCAAGATAATATGATGGTTTAACATTATGTCCTCTTTGCCAGTGTTATATGTTGATGATTTAAAATATTGTTTAGCATTCATCACAGATTTTCTAAACACAGAAATGTGGGTGGGTAAAGTAGGGGCAGAAGCTCTGCTAATGATCATATAAAATAACAAATTGATTCATTCAAAAGTTGACAGATGTTGCTGAAGAGTGTTAGAACAATCAGTGAAAGAAGCTCAAAAAACTCAGTGAGAAGTAAGCCTGTATTCTCATTTCAATTGATACATATATATATAAATGTATTAATACAAACTGCCATTTGTTTTGCCTGCTTTATTTCCCCTTGTATTTCTTTACTTCAGAAGAAAAGAATAAAGGACAAAATGCATAAAAGTACACAGGAACAGATAAGAGAAGCAAAATCCTTAGATGACAGGCATATGGAAAAGTAAGTAAAAAGGGTCTTCTTTCCTGTACCTTATACCTAGGAATAATTTTATTGTGCTTCAGAGTAACAGATTTATAACTAGACAGGGCTCTTCTGTGAATTTCTCCACTGATTAACTTTCTAAATGATCACTAAATTTAATAGAGCTCAATCAGGGGGTACTTCAATATAGTTAGGCACATGCAGTGCCTTCTAGATTAAAAAAAAAAAAAAAACACATAAGAGCTTAGGAGATAGTTAAAGCACCACTATGTGAATTGGCCAAGATCATTAATTTAGATCACATGGTGAAAACAAAGCTTGTGTCCTGGAGGCACCTGACCTTTGTACAACAGCTGGCAAATAGTTTCCTCCTAAGAGTTGAAAGAATGTTGGGAGTTCATTTTGAAGTGTGAGGTTTCAGATTAGTTGGTATAATAATCTGTTGTTTCAAGAAGATAAAGATGGTCTGCTTCTGCACCCTGGAGGTGGTGCATCAAGAGTTATGTGGGCTCATGATTCTTTACGCTCTTTACAAAATGTGTGGGCACTTTGTAAGCCTTTTGAAAACTTATGGAAGTAAATACCATGCCTTACTGTACCTTTTGATTACTAGCACCCTGCAGAGTTGCTACAGGTGTAAGCCCTCCATTATCAGTGTTTCTTCACAAACCACTATCTGTATAAAAAGGGTTACTCTGAAAATAGAATAATTTGTTGAAACAGGAGCCTTTAGACATGATGTAACAGGCAGTTTAAAAAAAAAGAATTTGGAGTCATCATCAGTGATAGAGAAGACTTGCAGACTCCAGGTGTTACCAGACCCAAGTCCAGGCACCTCATCACTGGAAAACCAGTAGTCAAAAGATGTGAATTAGTGGGAAAGAAATCAGGTTTACTGAAGGTCCAGCACACTGGGGGATTGTGGGGCTGTCATCTTCATAGTGCCCTCCTGGGGATCTCAGGGACACAAAGGGTTTTTATAAGGACAGAAAGATGGGACTGTGAGATACTGGGAGGGAAGGTTTCTCTTAGCAGGATTTTTTTTTCATCCAGGGTGTGTCTTCTTTTCTTCATTTTTGAATGGACCATCACAATGGAGCTTGACTTTCTGGGGCTAGTACCTGTACTTTCTTTAAATAGACAAATTTATTTCTGCATGTAAAAAGTCACAGAAATTTACTTGCTTTGTGTTGATATATAACTAAAGACTAAGAAGAGGCATGACACATTTGATTTTATCTGAGGATCACCAGATGTTATGGGTTTTTTAAAGGTGGTTATTTAATTAGAGTGCCATGTGAGGGACAGATAAGCCTACTAGAGTGTAGGCGGTCATTGTTTGTGGTGATGGTAAGATCATCGATGTCTGCCCTTCCCTTCTCAGGCTGACTGCTCAGATAGAACCTTCCATCAAATACTCACTCTCCCTTCTTCTTCCTCCCTTTCTTCTTCTGGGAGAGAGATGCTAGTCTACATAGTAGAAAAACAAGACAAAAAAATTACAATAAAGATTGTCCTGAGTTTATGAAATGTATCATTTTGTTATCTTCCATTTGCAAATCACAGAAAATCCAATTAAAACAGGTTCAGAAAAACAAGAAGGAATAATATTTTGTATAGCTGAAGTATTCAGGGGAAGAGTGGACTGCAGATCCAGTAGCATCTAGGGACTCATCAGCGTACAATTTCTCTTCACTTTCATTTTTGCCTTCTGCCGTGTGTGTCCCATGGTCAGACAGGCTCTTCCCTCATGGAAGCAGCTCCAGCCTCACGTCCCTCTGGGTTTAGAGCCAGAAGAACAGAACTATCCTCAGGGAGTTATCCAGGCCTAGATGTGTTCTAATCTTATCCTGAGTGGAAGTGGAGGGGGCCTGGGTCTTCTGGACTCAGTCCTTCTTAGGCACTTATCTGCAGAAATGGCAGTGCACACAGTGGCAAGGTGACTAGCAAGTCCACTGCAGTACTCATGGACAGGGGGGAGGCTGTCACTGCCAGCCTGGGAAGCAGCAGGTGAGAGGAGGAGGTGCTGTGTTCAACTGATGGCAGGTTTTTCATATGTCTCCAGGAAACCATTTCAGGGCTTTGGACTGATAGCACTGGGGAGAACAGAAACTTGGTGAAGCCTCTTACAGACCTTCAGGTGGACGAGCAGACCCAGCACAAAACCTACTCCTGCTGTGAACTTCACCTTCCATTAGATTTGTGCATGGCAGTGCCACTCTTCAAGGCCACTGAGCTTATTTTCTGTGGGCTCTGAGGTCACATGGCCATTCCCCTAAAAACTCCTCTGGTTGGAATTGTGTGGCTGACTCACTATCTTTCTCCTCCTCAATACCCATGATGCATTATGTACAGAGGATTTGCAAATGTGAAAATATGTGCAGACACCATGGAGAGCAGTGTGAAGGTTCTTTGGAAGAATAAAAATAGAACAACCATATGGCCCAGAAAGACCTCTTTTGTGTACATTTAAAAGAAATGAAATCAGCATGTGGAAGAGATATCTGTACTCATGGGTTTGCTGCAACACCCTTCACAATAGGAAGGGACAGAATCCATCTTAATTTCCTGTGGGTGAATGGATGGATGGATAAGCAAATTGGCAGGTGGCCTGTGGAATATTATTCAACCAAGAAAGTAAGGAGAAGCCAGCACTTTCAGTAACTGGAGTGATGCTAGAGGACACTGTGCTGAATTACATAAGCCAGGCACAGAGAAATCTGGCACAACCTCACTTACATGGGCAATCTAAAAATGTAAACTTATAGAGGCTGAGAATAAAGGGTGGTCAACAGGGGTGAGGGTGAAAAATAGGTGTTGGTCAAAGCTACATGGGCACATGTATGCCAGGTGAGTGAGACCTAGAGATCTGCACATGTAGTTAAGAATGTGGTCTTTTGCCCTTTAAAACCTGTTCAGAGGACAGCTCTCTGGTTAAGTATTTTTGCATTACAAAGCAAAGCTCACAGGGGAGCATGAGGAAATGGCAGGAGGACTTGTGGCCCCAGGGTGTTCCAGGTGTGTGTAGTGGCCAGCCCACTGAGGTGCCATCAGATAGAAGGAATTATTTGTTTTTATTGTGCCTCCTACTAAGGAAGGGGTCATGAAGGGGCAGTGAAGGTGGCTTCTCCAGGGGCCAGGAGGCATCTCTTCCACCTGAGCTCCTAAGTGGACTCAGCTGCTCAGGCTGAACCCTTTCCACCTGCCCGCACCCTCCTCATTGCCTGCATCTGTGGGAGATGTGCTGCATGTGCACATAGATCTTTGGCCAAGGGGCAAGGACTGGGAATGTAGCCCTGCCCTGCTCTTCAGTCCACAATGGAATTTGAAGGAGGGTCCCAGGATTGGCTGCTGCCCTCCTCTTCTGCTCTGCTTTTCTGCTCTGTTCTACTTGTTTTTATCATAAGTAGATTAGTAACAAATCCCCTGGTTTTGGGTGTGTGTGTGTGTGTGTGTGTGTGTGTGTGTGTATGATAGAATGGCCTTAGGCCTGAGCCTAAGCAACTCTATTTTGAAAAACCTGAAGTTTCACCAGGCACACCCACAGGTCCCTCCAGTATGGCCTCAAACAATTTCTTTCCCTTACCCTGATAAAAAGAGTGAAGCCCCTGGCTGGCTGTCCTCACCTGATAAGAGGGAAAGGCAAGAAGATCAGGGTGAAGACCCAAAAACCAGATGTTTCTAACCCCAGGGCGAATGATGTCACTGAGAAATCTGGTGGTAGCTGATAAGGATTGAAAGGGAGGTAAAAAAAAAAAAACAAATTTAGTATAAGTGATAAAGCAAATGAACCGGGATTCAGCCAGCCAAAAAATGAAATCCCAGTGTCAATGGAGACCATCTGGATGTCTGGACTTTCCCCCTGTCTGGAGGTAACAAGGCTCTTTTTCCTTCCCAGTGAGTTGCTGCCAGACACAGCTAGTGAGGCGGGAGCAATATATCCCTGCTCAGAAATGACAACACCATCCCACAGCACAGCACCACTGGGGACTTGTGAAGCTATAATGAGGCACCTCTGCCCCTCAGTTGAGGGTGTTTCTAGTGGAAGTGCAGTGGGCAGTTTGAACTCCACCCAAATCTATCAGTGATGAGCTTGCATTGAGAAAGCTGGACTTCCTCCTCCATTGGGTGAAAATGGAATGTGCCTCTCACCTCCCAAAGGAGTGTTACCAATGCGACCAATGAAAAGAGAGGAAGTTGGTGCCTGCATCTTCATGATGGAGTGTTAACCCTCTGTTTTCTTCTAGAAGTTGCAAGGTTTCTATTCTAATTCCCAAGTTTTTGGTTCGTTTAGACTTGACTTTTGTGCAGGGTTAGACAGGGGTCTAGTTTCATTCTTCTACATATGCACATCCAGTTTTCCCAGCACCATTTATTCACGTGGACACAGAGGAATGGGCATGAGGGCTCACTGAAAGTGGAGTCCTCAGAACATGAGGTCCAGAGACAGCCCAGCCTCTGGAAGCACAGGCTGTACCTATAGCTTCAGGTGGGCACTGTACAGTGAGCCTGGAAGGATGGAGAGAGCAAACCTGTCACTGAGGGGCTTTCATGGCTCCTTATCCTGAAGAGCAAATCATGTATGAATTTTTGCAGAAAACCCTTATGTGTATGGTCAATATTATTATGTGCTGAGGCATCACCAAGAATAATGGGCATGTGAGAACAGAAAAGAATGGAGTCAGACTCCCTACATCACTTCATATACATACACACACACACACACACACACCCTCAAAATATATCACAGAACTCAATACAAAATTAAAATTACAGACTCCTAAAAAACAGGAATACGTTATTTTGGCCTTACATTTAGAAGTAGTTACTAATTTAAGGCACTAGCTATGCAATGAAAGAAGTAATAAGTAAATTAATCTTTATTGAAAATTATAGCTTTTGAGTATCAAAGAATGCACTAAAAATGAATTGACAACTCACAGAATGGAAGAAAATATTTGCAAATCATAGATTATAACTCAGAACTGATTGTTACCCCAAATATAGAAAGAACTGTTACAACTAAACAACAAAGAAAATCCAATAAAAAAGTATCCAAAGATTTGAATATGCACTTCTCTAAAGATCATTATGTTTGATAAGTAATCATTTATCATTTATCATTAAGGAATTGCAAATCAAAGTCATAACAAGAGAACACTTTATGAGTAGAAGGATGGCTACAATCAATGACATGGACAATAGCATATCTTCTCAGGGACAAGGATACACTGTGACCTGGTGAAGAAATGTAAAAGATGAGCCTGCTTTCTAGCACAGTCTGGAAACTCCTTCCATGTTAAACACAGACTTACTAAATGACCCAGCAATACCACTCCTAGGTGTACATCCAAGAGAAACAAAGTTATATGAGTGTTCACAGCAGCATTATTCAAATAGTCAAAAAGTACAAGTGACTAAGTCAACAAACAAAATAGTTTAATAAATAAGGCATATCCATCTAATGGAATGTTGTTCTGCAATAGAAAGGAATGGAGTACTGATGACATGCTATGACATGAATGAACCTTGAAAATATTATGCCAACTCAAAGAAGCCAGTCACAAAAAGACAGGGTCTCACTAAGTTGCTTAAGGCACTGATTTTATCCTTGATGAAGGAAGGGTCACTTGGCACTTTGTCCCCCCATACAGACAGCCACACACCTCTCCAGGCACAGTTAGAAACATGCTTACTGAAAAGTTCCTGGGAGAAGCCAGGTTTCACAGCATGCTTTGCATGGTCCTCTCCCAAGTTCCTTGATGCCACAATTCCTTTCAACACCTGTTTCTCTACTAGGTCCTCCAGACGGAAGGCAGCATCTTTTGGAATATTCCTTGTCATGCTATGCCATTACCCTGCCCAGACTTTTCCATTCCTGCCTTCCTCTGGACCTCACCAGAGAGCCACTTTCAAGGTTGCTCAGGGCAGAGCACACTACTCTCAGGGAGCATGCCCTGCAGCCTCAGAAGGTGCTCTCCTTAGAGGCATGGGATAATGGAAGAAAGGGGACTCAGGAAAAAGTGCATCATGTAATTTATATCAGGGAATTTTTCTATGGATACATAAAATATATTCATATCTTGAATAGAGGTTTACATGTTCCAAAGGAATTGTCATTTCTTATTTCCAGGAATCTGTCACTTTAAAACTCTAACAATAGGAGGCCATGTTTGTCATATTTTTGACCTTCATAAAGTTGTATGTTGAAAAAAAAAGTTGCATGTTGTCCTCTGACCCAATATTAATAGAGCTAATGCCATAATGACTCATTCAACCAAAATTTCAGGCAAGGATTTATGAACAGCATGCCATCACCAACCAAGCCCTCCCAAATGAATCCTCAAATGGACACCTCACCAGGCTGGATATCCCGGGATGTGGAACCATCTAAAACACCTATTGAAATTAGGCCACGTGCCATCCTTACTGAGAACCCACCTGTCTGTTTTCCTTTAGACCCACAGCACCCTCACTGGTACCCCTGAGTTGTTTATTTTCCATTTTACATGTTTGATTGTGGTTAAAATATACATGACATGAAATTTGCTATGTTAACCATTTTAAAAAATATGTTTTAGTTGTAGATAGACATAATACCTTTATTTTTTTATATGTGGTGCTGAGGCTCGAACCCAAGACATCACATGTTCTAGTGAGTGCTCTATCAATGAGTTACAAACACAGCCCTCATTTTTTTAACATACAATCCTTTTACTCAATATGAATACTCTCTAATCCATAGCATATTTGAGGAATATTGATATCCCTGAGTATATAAATTTATTTCAACAAAATTCTACCATACCCATTTCCTCTATTGTAGAAGAGTAGATGCTCGCCAAGTGCAAGGAAATATTTCAGGCCTTTGGTAAAACCACTATAGAATCAAAGAATCCCTGTAATGAATACAACATTAGAAAATAATTCAGGTCTAATTGTTATTGGTTATATATTTTTGGCTTGTGTTTGTTTAATAATGGAGATATTCTCATTTTCTTTTAGATTATTGTTAGTGGTTATTTGTTGAGAGCCACAGCCAAAGGGGCCCCAGCAAACTTCCAGCTGCCAGCAAACTTCCAGCTGCTGGCTGATGATTGGCTCACAGCGGCCCCAGCAACATCTAGCTGATTGGCTCCTCGGCCCCAGCAACATCTAGCTGATTGGCTCCTCTGCAGTGATGCTCATTGGGCTGTTTCCCTGCCCTTTCAGACCACGGAGCTGCTCATTGGGGGACTTTTTTGGCTCCGCCCATGTGTCCCAGCCAATCGGCCTCAAGAGCAGGAGGATTGTGGGAGGTGGAGAGAAGCTTGTGTGGGAGAGAGAGGCTTGTGGAAAGCCGGTGGTGGCAGTTGAGGCTCTGAGGGTTTTTCCTGAGAGGCTGTTTTGTTTGGCGTGTGTGGTTCTAAAATAAAGTTAGTTTCTTTTGACAAGTGGCTCCTGATTGTGCCCAGCCAGACTGCGGCATTTGGTGGCTCGCACGGGGAGCTACTGAGGGTAAGTGAAACTGCTCGCCGCTGAGGGCAGGGCGAGAGGATGGGTAGCCATTTTAAGATTCCTCTTTTATTTTGCTTCACTTTTGTTTTAAGTTGCCTATCCCTGGAGATGAGTGAGACGGAAGAAAAATCGCTCACGTCTGAGGAGAAACTATTTACGTCTGAGGAACAGATAGGGAGAAAGGACGGATGCACATGTCAGGAGGATAGAAAGGCTATAATGACTTTTTGTTGTTCCCTTTTTATTTCATTCTGTCTCGGTTTTGTTTGGCGTCATCTTGTTGGGTTGTATTATAGTAGAAATATGGGATCAGAAATTAGTAAAAAACAAACTGAAAGAGTGTTAAGTAAATTGTTAGAGGAAGGAGGCATCCCAGTAAAATCAAGAGCAGTCAGGGCATACGTTGATACAATACAAAAATGTAGCCCATGGCTTTTTAAGGAGGAGTTGTTAAATATATCACAATGGAATCATCATGGTGAAGATTTAAAAAGAATAGAAAAGAAAAGCCCAGGGACTCTGCCAGTTGGCACATTGCCATTGTGGACATTCGTATCTTGTTTGCTTAGTCCAAAGCCTTCAGTTCAGACAATGGTAGAGGAAGGAGAAGACATAATGATTCAAGTAAAAGAGAAGGTCTCTCAAGTTAGTCAGGCAGAGGAAAAGATTCAAGTAAAAGAGAAGGCCTCTCAAGCTAGTCAGACAGAGAAAGAAAGTGTAAAACAGAAAAAGCCATCAGGGGGAAAGTTACAACAGGAGACTGCTACTAACACCTTTCTATCACCAGAGGGTGTAAGTGTCCAACCAACAGCACCACCTCTACAGGAGACTGCTACTAACACCTTTCTATCACCAGAGGGCGTAAGTGTCCAACCAACAGCGCCACCTCCATATGCTGGGAGGCCCCCAACCCCCACAGTTGATAGTTGGGATCCTGAGACAAGATCTCAAATACTAACATGCCCTGTATTTGAGGCAGGAGGGCAGCGATTTTACCAAGTTTTAAATTTCAAAACAGTGAAGCAGCTAAAAGAGGCTGTAACAACCTATGGTCCTCAAGCACCCTTCACTGTAAGCATGGTCGAATCCATTAACAACTTGAACATGACGCCAGCAGATTGGGCTAATATGTGTAAAGCTGTGCTAAATGGAGGACAATACCTGTTATGGAAGGTTGCCAATGAGGAATTTTGCAAGGAGACGGCTAGGCGAAATGCAGCAGCTGGTTATCCTCAGAGAAATCTAGATATGTTGTTAGGAAAGGGACCTTATGAGGATCAGCAGCAACAAATTGCATATGATCCTGGCGTATACGCACAAATTGCTGCAGATGCAATTAAGGCATGGAAGACTTTACAAGGACATGGAGGTTTACAAGGTCAATTATCTAAGGTAATACAAGGAGTTAATGAACCTTATGCTGAATTTGTAGATAGGCTTATTCAAACAGCTACCAGAGTTTTTGGGAATACAGAACAAGCAATGCCATTACTAAAACACCTGGCTTATGAGCAAGCGAATCGTTGGTGCAGAGATATCATTAGACCATGGAAACATGAAGATTTAAACACATATATTAAATTATGTAGAGACATTAATGAACAAGAGCAAGTCGTGGCAGCTGCAGTCAAACAGGCTTTAGATGCCAGAGACATTAATGAACAAGGGCAAATTGTGGCAGCTGCAGTAAAACAGGCTTTAGATGCCAGGCCAAGAACATGCTACAATTGTGAACAAACAGGACATTTTAAAAGGAATTGCCCCATAGGAGGAGGGTTTAACAAAACTAGGTATCAAAGGAGTAGAATACCAGGTATTTGCCCACGATGCCGTAGAGGGAGACATTGGGCTAATGAATGCCGTTCTCAAACCACCATAGAGGGTACTCCATTATCAAAAAACGAACAAGGACCAGGTGTTTATCCACGATATCGTGGAGAAAGGCATCGGGCTCCATTGCCAAAAAATGGACAGGGGGGCCCAATGCTCCGGGGCCCCAAACCACAAATATACGGAGCACTGGAGGAACCCAGCAACCCCATCAGGGTAGTGCCCAGGACACATTGTCCATCAGATCCCTCATCAGACAAACCAGAGGGAGCACAGGGTTGGACATCTGCGCCTCCGCCAGAGCAGTACTAACTCCAGAGATGGGAGTTCAAATCATTCCCACAGGGGTGAAAGGACCTCTTCCCAAAGGAACAGTAGGCTTATTATTGGGACGCAGCTCTTCTACTCTAAAAGGACTTATGATAAGTCCTGGGGTAATTGATCCCGATTATGAAGGTGAAATAAAAATTATAGCCAGTTCTCCAAAGGGTATATCAGTAATTTCACCAGGAGATAGAATAGCACAGTTACTAATAATACCCAGCCTACATGATAAATTTTCCAGTCGTACTGTAGAAAGAGGTTCCAAGGGATTAGGCTCCACAGGTGTAGATTGGGCTATGCTTTCTTTAAATTTAGATTCTCGCCCCATGCTAAAACTAAATATTCAAGGACATGAATTTAATGGGCTACTGGATACAGGTGCAGACCTTAGCATCATCTCTCGTCAAGAATGGCCAAAACATTGGCCATTACAACAAGCCACTCAAACGCTTCGAGGCCTAGGAGTGGCGACTAATCCCCATAGAAGTGCAATGGTATTAGATTGGAAGGATCCTGAAGGATGTGAAGGAACTATACAGCCATATGTATTGGATCATCTTCCCGTAAATTTATGGGGACGAGATGTCCTAGATCAATTAGGTTTGACATTAACAAATAACATCAACCAAAATGCACCCACTATTATGACTAGACAAGGTTTTAGGAAAGGAAAAAGATTAGAAAAACAAGAACAAGGTATAGCAGCACCAATACAAATAGATCAAGGAACAGACAGACATGGGTTGGATTTTCAGAAAGGGCCACTGAGACAATAAAAATTACTTGGAAATCAGAAAGACCAGTATGGGTTCCTCAGTGGCCCCTGACTAAAGAAAAGATACAAGCAGCCCATGACCTGGTCAAACAACAATTAGCGGAAGGACATATACAACCTTCTGTATCTCCCCATAATACTCCCATTTTTGTCATCAAAAAGAAATCTGGTAAATGGAGATTATTGCAAGATTTAAGAGCCATTAATAATGAGATGGTTATTATGGGACCTGCTCAATCAGGGATTCCTCAGTTGTCTGCTTTGCCAAAAACCTGGTATGTTTTAGTTATAGATATTAAAGATTGTTTTTTTTTCAATTCCAATTCATCCTGAGGATAGTCCACGTTTTGCATTTACTATCCCTGCACTGAATCATGAAGGTCCTGATCAGAGATATGAATGGAAAGTACTCCCTCAAGGGATGGCTAACAGCCCAACTATGTGTCAAATTTATGTTAACAAAGTAATCCAGCCACTTAGAAATCAAAATCCTGAACTACAAATATTTCACTATATGGATGATGTATTATTAGCACACAAAGCTAAAAACACATTGCTAGAATGTTATGCCACACTTACAAACTTATTAAAAAATTATAATCTAGAGATAGCAATAGATAAAGTACAATTAAATTTTCCAATTAATTATTTAGGAGTTCTATTATCCTCAACCATGGTCCGTCCACCAAAAATTCAAATACGAGTAGATCAACTCAAATCACTTAATGACTTTCAAAAGTTATTAGGAGACATAAATTGGATAAGGCCTTATTTAGGTATACCAACAGGAGAGTTGGGACCTTTATTTGATATCCTAGAAGGTCCATCAGATCCAAATTCACCCCAAATGTTAACGCCTGAAGCAAGAAAGGCATTAAAAATCATTGAAACATATATGGAAAATATGCATTTGGATAGAATTGATATAAGTTTGCCTTTATTATTTATTGTACTACCAACAAAAAATATTCCTACAGGAGTATTTTGGCAAGAAGGTCCATTATT